GCACTAGCTGCTACTCGTTTCTATCCCTTGTTAGAGCAGGGGGTGGCGGACGTGGGGTCTGTGCCCAGAGCTGTTGGGACGTCTTTGCTGCACCTGGCAGCCTGTCCCAGGAAGAAGCTCCGCCGCTCTCGTGGACCTGCCCCCAGCCTGTCCCTTCTGGTGCGGAGCGAGCCCCGGCCGCCCTCCTCCCATGCAGACCGGGCAGTGACCTAGTTAGGCGGGACCCTGTGGAAGCTCTTCACAGGCTGCTTTGGGCTTCGCTGTCTTGAGCAGCCTGTATCTCTGCAGATGTTGGCTCCTCGCTGTTCCCCCCTCTCCAGATCACTGACGGAGGCTGAATAGGGCTGGTCCCAGGCCTGACTCCCGGGGCACACGACGAGTTCTCTCCGCTCGGACAGCTCGCCATTGATTCCTGCCCACGAACGGGCCTTCCCGCCTACCCGTGGCAGCTCGCTTTGCTTGGGGGCCTTGGGCGAGGGACCTTGGCAGAGGCTTTCTGGAGATCTAAGCGCACTAGGTCCCTGGCTCCCCCGTGTCCGCATGCTCGTTGGGCCCTCCCCCGTCAAAGAACTCTAGACTAGTGAGCCGTGATTTCCCTTTACAGAGACCACGTGACTCCCCCCAACAAACGGCCTTCGTCCCCGTGGCCGACTCTCTTCTTTACTGGAGGTTCAGCCATTGAGCCCGGCCCTGCCCTTAGACTTCCCGGATGTAATTGCCGGGATCCCGCGAGAGAGAAGGGGAGTGAGGCGGGGCCCATTGGAAGGCAGGCGACACGTCCACTCAGGAGTTCCGCACTTTCCCAGTTGAGTTCTTGCTGAACTCTTGGGAGCTGCTGCCTGGTCCCGCGACTCGTTCAGTCCATGGGTGTGCTCCAAAACCTCCTCAGTCTGGGACAGGGCCCCCCATGCGTCACCTACAAGGAACGGCTCAGGGTTGGGAATCTCCCTCGCGGCCTCAGCCGGGAAGACAGATGCAGAGAATTCATGTAGTTTCTCTGCAGTGAGCCTATCGTCTGAGTGCTCCTTTGGCACCTCCATCATCCAGGGCCCTCCCAGGCAGGGAGCTGGGCTCCTGCTTCTGAGGCACTTAAAACCATTTTACTATTACTTTTGGAGGGTTTGGCTAGCTGCTCGTCAAACTCCTTTTGGGCTTTTCTTGTTATACTAGCCAATTAGCCCATAAAATGGGATTTTCGGGTCTCTCCTCCACGTCCTGTTCCCTTTCTATCTCGGTCTTCTCTCCTGAGCCACCCGTCTCTCTCTCTCTCCCCCCTCCTCCTACTGCCTCCCCCTTGCTCTCTCTCAGCCCTCCTCTGCCTCCTGCCTCTCGTTCTCTCTTCTCCTCCTCCTCCTGCATGGGGAGCGCAGACCCCAAATGGCTGCTTGCACCACTTGCTTCTGTGCGGCAGCCCAGCCGAGCGCCACAGCGGGAGGGAACAGCGCCCCCCCAGAGGGAACAGCGCCCCCCAGAGGGAACAGCGCCCCCCAGAGGGAACAGCGCCCCCCAGAGGGAACAGCGCCCCCCAGAGGGAACAGCGCCCCCCAGAGGGAACAGCGCCCCCCAGAGGGAACAGCGCCCCCCAGAGGGAACAGCGCCCCCCAGAGGGAACAGCGCCCCCCAGAGGGAACAGCCAGCATTTCAGCAACAGCGCCCCCCCGAGGGAACAGCCAGCATTTCAGCAACAGCACCACCAAGAGGGAACAGCCGGCATTTCAGCAACAGCACCACCAAGAGGGAATAGCCGGCATTTCAGCAACAGCACCACCAAGAGGGAACAGCCGGCATTTCAGCAACAACACCACCAAGAGGGAACAGCCAGCATTTCAGCAACAGCACCACCAAGAGGGGGTTTCCCTCATTAGGTTTTGACTCCCACTCACTGAGCAATGCCTTTTTCTTTCTCTCTGCTTCTTTTCTTTGGCTGTAAAGCCCCAATGGCACTTTTTTGGTTCCCTTACTGTATTTTTTTTTTAAATCTGGGGTATACGTTTAAGTTGAGCCTCTATTATGGTGTCCTTGAAAAGTTTCCATGCAGCTTGCAGGGATGTCAGCTTGTCCCTGTGCCGTTTAATTTCTGTTTCACTAACTTCCTCGTCTGTGTCCGTCCCCTGTCTGAAATGAAATGCCCACGCTGTCGGGCTGCTGAGGGGTTTTTCCCACCACAGGGATGTTACATTTAATTGCACTCTGGTCACTGTTTCCAAGCGGTCCAGCTATAGTCACCTCTTGGACCAGATCCTGTGCTCCACTTAGGAATGAATCAAAAATAGCTTCTCGTGGGCTCCAGAACCAGCTGCTCCAAGGAGCAGTCGTTTAAGGTGTCAAGACACTTTGTGCTTCCCGTCCCGAGGTGACGTGTGCCCAGTCGATACTGGGATAGTTGAAATCCCCCACTGGGATCGCGTTTGTATTTTTACAGCCTCGCTAATCTGCCTGAGCATTTCACAGTCGCTTCCCCATCCAGGTCAGGTGGTCGGTAATAGATCCCAACGGCCATCTCCGCGCTATCAGAGCAGGGAACCTGTTCATTTAATGTTTTTCCTTCCTTTGATGCGCCGAGGAAAGCTCTCCCCGTGTTGCTGAGCCGGGGCCGGCACGGTGCTGGGAGGTTCCCGGGGCGCCAGTGTCCTGCAGGGGGCTTTGGGGGCGGTAAGACAGTGGGGTCGTGAGATGCGCCTGCCTGACCCCTGCAGCGTGTTTCCTTGCAGGGAGCCGGGGAGAGCTACTTGGAAAAGGCCGAGCGGTTGTACTCGCAGATGTGCTCGACGAGGGAAAAGGTGAGTCCCACGCACGGGCCCCAGCAGGCCTGGGGTGGCTGGGACTGGGGCTTGGCGAGGGCTGGCAGCGGAGGGTGAGGTATTAAACAGGGGACCCCTCCTTCCAGCTTCGCCAGGCACACGGGCTTCCTGCGGGGTCCCCTGGAAGCAGGGTGGTCCCTAAGGTGTTAAACACCCTCCAAACTTAGGAACCCTCTGAGGCCAGGATTTGGGGGTGACTAGCGGAATTGGGGGTGTTTGGGGCAGGGAACACGGGATGAGGGGATAGAAAATAAGAGGTTTGGGGAGGGGGCCCTGTCTGGGGAGAG